GGACGATACAAAAACTAGTTCGATCCTTTGACGTACATAAAAAGAATTTCGCGGTCGCGTAACGGTAAAACTTTCTGGCTTTGAAGTCGGGCATCTCTCCTCTGTAATCTTCAAAGAACAATCATCAGCCTAGTGATTGGTCAGGATTTTTTACCCGACACCAATCAAATAGCTAGCCGCTTGCCTTCAATTTTGCTATGAGATATTCCAGGGGTGTAGCCTCCTCGATATCCAGGGGTTAACAAGCTTGATATTCATTAAATTTGTGTTGTAGGATGCTGATATTTGGCATGGAGTGGGGTAAACTATTGATGTAGTAAAGATGTAGTAAAGTTAAAATTAAAAAATAATTTCAAATTTTTGATTTTTTTTACCTGTTTTGTACTTTTTTTTTTTTTGAAGCACATCAACGTTAAAGCTTTAACTGAAAGTTATTTAGAACCTTGTCAGTCATCAAATATGTATTTCGCATTGAGGTTCCTGTCGGGTATACTATTGATGTAGTGAAGTTAAAACTTAAAAATAATTTCAAATTTTCCACCTCTTTTGTACTCAACCTTTTTGAAGCACATCAAGGTTAAAGCTTTGACTGCAACATATTTAGAAGCTTGTCGGCCATTAAATATGTGTACTAGGATGCTGATATTTGGCATGGAGGTTCCTGTGGAGGATGATATGGATGAAGTGAAGTTAAAATTTATAAATAATTCTCAATTTTTTGAAATTTTCCACCTGCTTTGTACTTTTTGGAAGCACATCAACGTTACAGTTTTTACTGTAAGTTATTAAGAACCTTGTCATTCATTAAATATGTGTACTAGGATGCTGATATTTTGTATAGAAGTTACTCTGGGGTAAAATACAAGGACAGTTAAATAAATAAATAATAACAAGAGGCCCAAGGGCCTTAGCGGTCACCTGAGTTATACTTATCATAAGTACTGGTAGCTTTATTTTATTGTTTAGATGTGATGTGGAAATCAGCATGTAAACTAAGTGAAATACAATACTTGTCATGTCATCAAAAGATAATAATTTGAAAATACTGGTAAATGTTCCCTTTGGGGCCCCGCTCTAGCCCCTGGGGATGGGGCAGGGATCCCAATTTTACAAAGTAATACTCTCATTCACCATAGATGATTCTGACTAAGTTTGAGTAATTTTCTGCTGAAAATGGATAAAATATATACCCAAAAGTGTTATTTCCCTATATAACCTAAAGTAAACTTTACCCCCTCCCCAAGGGAGAACGGATAGCTCGGGGGGCCTGAAATTTACAATGTAAGTAAAGCCCCTGATGATCTTTCTTTCCATGTAAAGAAAATGAGTGTAGTACCTCTGAGTCTGGAGAAGATTTTTGAAATATTGGTTAATTTTCCCTTTGGGGCCCCGCCCTGGCCCCAGGGGTTGGGGTAGGAATCCCAATTTTACAGTTTTGTAGCCTCATCTACTATGGATGATTCTGACCAAGTTTGGAAAAATTCCATCCACTGGTTCTTGAGAAGAAGTTGAAAATGTAAAAAGTTTACGCAGGACGGATGACGAACGGAAAGCGATTAGAATAGGTCACTTGAGCAAAGCTCAGGTGACCTAAAAATCCATCCACTGGTTATTGAGAAGAAGTTGAAATGTAAAAAGTTTACGCATGACAGATGACGATGGACGGAAAGCGATTAGAATAGGTCACTTGAGCAAAGCTCAGGTGACCTAAAAATCAAATCTTTTTTTGACTTTTGACCTGTTTTGAACTTTACATTTTTACAAACAAATTTTTAAATAGGATTACAAACAATTTTTTTAAATAGGATAAAATTTTAAACAGGCGAGCATTTGGTGGCTTTGACACCATCTCTGGTTTACCCGACACCAATAAAAAAGACAGCCGTGTGCCTTCAAATTTGCTATGACATATTCCAGGAGTGCAGAGAGCGAAAGTGAGCATAACCCCTGGATATTGAGGATGGTAGTCCAGAGTTAAACCCCTGCATTTTCAGGTTATTTTTTTTTTAATTTCTACTTCAAAACATTCAACTTGAAAAATATTTCATAATACATGTGTACTGACAATAATATAGTTTGGCTTGCTGGTACCCTTTACCTAAAGAAGTGTATTTGGGCTTCAACTGTACATAGCTACCTGGTCATCACAAAAAAAACACAGATACCACAACAATATAACCAATTATTCATTTATTGTACACATTAAAACAATCTCCCCCCTCAGTTCAGTACATACTCACATCACTCATTGAACACACGTCTTTATAATGATGACATTATAACACTTACACAACTGTCATCCTTACCCACACATTGTCACACATCTGACACACCTCAACCAACCAACCACACATTCTCCTTACCAAAATACTGTATCTATACTCCATTAAAGCCCAGGGGGCCAACACATTATATCTGACTTGAACTACTTGAAGTACTTGAAGTAGGACAATTGGTTTATTACAGGACAATGAAGTAGCATGTGTGGCATTTTAACTGAACTGCAATATATAAGGATGGTTTTATTGCCAGATAAATACAGTATATCAATCTGAATTCTGTCATGACTTCTTGCTTAGTATTTATTGCTTCACAACAGCTGAGGTCATAATGACAAACCAGCTGTTACAAAGACAAATTCCCAAACATCTGAAAAGTGAAGACAGAAACATGTACACAATATGAAAACTCGTTAATCGGTACTTCGTACATATGTACACAATATGAAAACTCGTTAATCGGTACTTCGTACATATGTACACAATATGAAAACTCGTTAATCGGTACTTTGAAAATCATTAAAAGTCACCATCCATCTGGTTATTTTAAGGACTATTACTGTGATAAATTGCCATTTTGAAATTTAAAAACATGATTTTTTTTCGATGTTTTCTGTTAATTAGCTATATATATATATATAGTATCTAGAGTAGAGTAACAATTATATTGTTACTAGGCATTGCTGTATACACTAGCACTGTCTAGACCCTTGTACTAAATAAATTACATATCTCTTCAATGCAGAGAAAGAAATTGTTTATACAAATAAAATGATGCAAACACCGTTAGTTAAAAATATTTTGGATGCAACCTATTTCTATAGTATTGAACCGATATACATTACACAAAGTATACGTGTCATTGATATACAAAGTATGATTTTATGGGCGACCATACACAATAATACAGTGAACCCTAGGCCTTGTTACTGTAAGTTATATAGTCTCGGGAGTAAGTAACTGTTATCTTGTCACGGGATAAATTTATTGCTTTTAAATTTTCATAATTTGTTAAAGGGAAAAATGAATAAAATGTTGAAGCTTTTCCATTCACTTAAAGTGACTAGTTTTCTATAAAACACCTAATTGCAGCTTAAGCCTTAATACCTGGTAAGTTTCTGAGAAAGTAAATGAACAAGACCAAACAGGAGCGTCCTCATCAACATATATCATGAGTTACATGTATATTATAAATCATTGTTCTTTTTGTGCTTTCTTTGATGGTAACATTGTCACTCTTTTTGCATGATTCTCTTTAAAGACCACAGCTACTACAAACATCATCTAACAAGTAATATCCAACTTTCAACTCAATATGGGCAGTGATAATACCCATTAATGGCTAGGGACAAATTAAATACGGCCTCCAGTACAATGTAATACAACTTAGTACAATGGCACCAAGCTTACTTTATATTTAAGTTTGGGAACTCCTGTGTGACCTCGTTACTCAGCTGCTATATATAGTTCACTAGTATACAAATCAGAAACATTTTTTTAAAGTGCATACAAACCAGTCTTGTTCAAATGCTGAAAAATCTTGCTAGAAACAGAATGATGGACGCACTGGTATTTTAAAACCTGAACCACCACAACATGGTGCACCAAAGTAAACGATTACTTATAACTACTTATACCACATCTAACTGTATTAACTCTGCCTTTTGCACTCCTCTGATCTACAAGTTCACAAAAATACACAGATGTGATATTTCAATCTGACTAACACCAGCTCCTAAAATTCCCCACGTTTGTTTCTTTTCATGAAATATTATACTAGTACCCAAATAGTTATGAACATATATTATCTGTGTTTTCCAAATAGGAAAATTTGTTGGGCATCATACTAGTTGGCTACATCAGAAAGAGTCTTGCAAGATGTGGTGTCCTAAGATGATCTGCTATGCAGCGAATCATACATTGTGAATTTAGGAACTGGTTTTAATCAGACTGATTATTATAATATTAATATTAAATGATAACAACAATAATAAATAATAATATATTACAAAACAAGAGGCCCATGGGCCTTAACGGTCACCTGAGTCCTACAGTATTTATTTTTATTGTTGAAATATAAAATATGTTGAGTAAAAAATAGTTAAGTATAATGTTAACTTAACTTTGTCAGGACCATGAGCTGATCATTCCTAGACCGATTTTAAGTGAGATCGGCCTATTAGAACTTGTTTTTAAGTTTGAAATAGGTATTTACAAAATAGCGGCCATGGCAGCCAAATTGTATTTCTGATTGACCCGAAAAATAACAACACTTTGTCAGGACCATGATTCGATCATTCCTACAAAGTTTCAGTTCAATCGTCCAAGTAGAACTTTACTTTAAAGTTTGAAATAGGTTTTCAAAGTGGCGGCCGTGGCGGCCATTTTGGATTTCTGATCGACCCAAAAAATAACAACACTTTGTCAGGACCATGAGGCGATCATTCCTACCAACTTTCAGTTCAATCGGCCTTGCAGAACTTGATTTTAAGTTTGAAATAGGTTTTCAAAATGGCGGCCGTGGCGGCCATATTGGATTTCTGATCGACCCGAAAAATAACAAAACTTTGTCAGGACCATGAGGCGATCATTCCTAACAACTTTCAGTTCAATCGGCCCTGCAGAACTTGACTTTTAGTTTGAAATGTAAAATGTTAGCGGACGACGGACGAAAACGGATAGCAATAGGTCACTTGAGCTAAAGCTCAGGTGACCTAAAAATATCTTCCTTAAAGTTAAGAATATCAGTAGCCAGTTGCACTATAATTGGTATGACAATATGGGGCCGCTCCTATGTACGAGTGAAAACTTGGCTAAGGCACACAAATGATTTACCTTCCCTCCAGTTTATCTTAATACAAAATCAATCATTATGCAGTTAACTGCTGTTGTTAACTGACATTTACCCTTTATCACTATTGACCATAATGGACTCTTCAATATCAATGCATGGTGGAGTCTAATATAGTTACATAGGGGCGAGAGGGTTAAAGGAATAACAGGTGTGCATATGTAATATAACAAAACAATTGCTGACCGAGATTTAGGTTTTGATATATAAGTTTAGTTGATCCTTAATCAAATTGTTGAACTCAGCCCGAGCCTTGGGTAACAATTTGGGCTTCAGATGTAACAAAAAAACAGTCAGAAAATGTTTTGTTATACTTTTATAATGTCAAGGAAAGTATTAACCAATTCAATCTTAAACAAGGAAGATTGCACAGAGGTGGATGTGGTTCTATCATACCAGCTCAGGTGGAATAAACGCTGATTGTAATTTATCCATGATGAAAGAATAAATCTGATGTGTACACATCTGTATGCAAATTTTGCTAAGCATTGAGTGACAGACTTGATCATAACAGTCCTATTAAATAAATAAATGGGTGCATCTGGCCCAGCATTCAAACTTGAGTTGTCGCACAAAGATTACTTCAAGTGTTGAAAATCATGATGCCGCTAGTTGTTGTATTCAATTATTGAATTTTTGACGGGAGTCTGATTAAAGCATTTGTTTGAAAAGTTCTTACATTTGTGCAGACACGTAAGGAATTTCAAATACAGCTCAAAAATAAAAACTTGTTGCATGAAGATTTGATAGAATTTTCATGAAATTCAAAGCATTCTTTGAAGATACCTTAAAACTATACAGCATTTTGAGACAATGGTCATCAACAGTCATGAAACGGAACATGAAAGTTTTTACTAAAAACAAATGAAATGGTTCTGGAATAGATGTCATCTAAATGGCATCGTTTGAAAGGCCTGTAAATGTTTTAGGCTTTTTTACAAAACACCTGATGACTCGAATGGAAGTCAGCGTAAATTATCTGATCCACCTTTAAATGTCTGTTAAGATGATCCTGTGACGGCCTTTACAGAATTTCTGATGACTCTAGTGGAAGTCAGTGTAAATTATCTGATCCACCTTTAAATATCTGTTAGATGAATCTGTGACAGCCTTTACAGAATATCTGATGATTCTAGTGGAAGTCAAGTGGAAGTTATCTGATCCTCCTGTAAAAGTCTGTTATCTGATCCTGTGACGGGCTTTACAGAATACCTGATGACTCTAGTGGAAGTCAGTGTAAATTATCTGATCCACCTTTAAATATCTGTTAGATGATCCTGTGACGGGCTTTACAGAATACCCGATGATTCTAGTGGAAGTCAAGTGGAAGTTATCTGATCCTCCTGTAAAAATCTGTTACATGATCCTCATGATCTCTCTTACAAATGTCTGATGATCTACAGAAGCGTGTACATTAAGGACAAAAATGGTAGAAATTTAGACTGAATATCTGTTTTTAAAGTCATTGTCTGTATGAACTCGACATCTGATATCTCATTAAAATAATGCATGATTCTTGTGTTAGTAAATATATCCTATGTAGCTCATGTACCAAAGAAGCTCAGTAACCAAATACATGACACCACTTATTCTTTCTCTTTGTCCGAATCGTCCTCCACCTCCGTCACCATGATGCTCTCTATGTTATTTTGGCTTCCTTGATGTGTCCACGAGTCATTGTACGACACTTTATCACATGTCACCACTGTCACCGAGTCTAATTTCTCCTGAAACTCTCCACGTGCGGTGGCCAATGCCTGCTGTACTGCAATGTCCTTCTGGGCGCGCTCTTCCATCACTGCACGTTGTATGCTCATCTGGGCCTCCATACGCGCTGCATTTAATGCCTGTAACCAAAGTTAGTATTTACAATGTTTGTTTATATTACAGAATAGAATCACAGTAGCATGTAACTTCAGATCTTTACTGACATTTGGTGAGAAGTAATATTAGGATGGGCGAGCTAAAAAAATGGAATTAATAAATGCTAAATTTTTAAATGAATATAATATACAGTGAACAAATCTGATTAGGGCCAAGACAGGAGGTACACTGATTTCAAAATACAAGTTCATGTTTCAAGTTTCAATCCATTATTTAAGTTATGTGTAATTCATGCATGTACTATGTATAATTTGCAGTTAAATTTTCAGACTACGTAACAATGCTGAATTATTTCTGCAAGCACATCGTCATCAGAAGCTTTTTTATGGAGGCATCAACTATTTTGATACATAGTTTGATGTACTGTTACACTCAATAATCAAGCTACCTATGTTGCCAGGACAGAGGCTGAATTGTGAGACAGCTGCATTAATAAAGACAAACTTTCCCCCTTAAATACTGTGTAGATATTGGGACAACCACATCAAGTTTTTTTGCATCTTTTTATTTTTAAATTGTGCACCATTTAAATTTGAAAGAAGTACATATGTGTATATCATACTTGTATATGTAAACCTCTAGCAAATCTGAATTTGTAGGTTCTTGATTCTTTTAATAAAATCAATAATTTTCCACCTAGTGATAGATCTAACCCTGCTTATCCATGTTTAAATACATTTCCATATGTTAAAACTCAAAAATTGATTCCCAAAAAATTTGATAGAGTTCAAACTCACTATATTGAAGCTCAACTACAAAGCCTAGCCTTGTGAAACTTTTGAACTGATCAATACTCACATCGACTGTATTAATATAGTCGGGTAATGGGTTGTACTCATGAAGTGTGTAGATTCTTTCCACAAAACATAATCTTATTAATGCAACTTACATCTTGTTTTTCCTTGTCCATCTGCATCTTTAGTTGATGAATTGCAGCGTCCCGGGACATTTGACTCTGCTGCTTGGCTTGTTCAATCAGAGCCTTTATCTGTTGGGCTTGGCTCAGTACTCCATTTACAAGCTATAAAAGAAAAGCATGTGTTTTGATGCAGGTAATCTAGGGAACATTTCACTTTCCTTGTTGAGAAAAATTGAAAGTGCAATTAACTTTTTAATACATATAAGCATATTACGGTTTACATGTTTCAGCCCACAAGGTGGGATGTCATGGTTCTAATGACGTAACAACAAGTGGGCCAAAACATGTAAACTGGATTAAATTTGTCAAGACTCCACATTTGATGTTGCCTGGTCATCTTTTTTTTTGAATTTCTTTCACTCTTATGGCTGGACTAGTGAATCCATCAACTTGGGTATGCTGAACTTCACTGAACATCCACCACTAGGGGAGCGTGGATCTCATTGTCCCTTAAGTTATAAATATTAGCATATTAGTTAGTATTGCAGCTTTGTCCCAATGGAGTAAATGATAAATATATGTACTTAATCCAAATACATGCATAGTTTGTTTGTTTGTTTGTTCGAGTTTATACCGAATGGTCCATTGACAACTGTGGTCATTTAGGGCCATATTGATTTATTTATAGAGGAAAACTGCTGAGGGCTGAAGCTCTTAAAAACCCTGTGTACATCTTCACAAACTCTAGAACAAGACCTGTAAACACAACCAGTGTCAGAAGACATACATTTATATAAAAAAGATAGACCGGAGTCTCAAGAACATATTTTGTTGAGCAGAGACAACCTCTAGTTCAGTCACCTAACTGTGTTGCTTGTTTTTAACTAAATTTTGTTAAAATCTATTAAGTTTTAAAAACAAATGCTGAAAATATTCTGCATTTCTATGTTTTGAAATAGTTATTACACTAAACTTAGCCACATTTCAAAAACTCTGTCTATAAATATGAATTCACAGTACCTCCTCAAGTTGCCACCATTGTCTTTGTTCGGAGACATCAGGCACAGTCATCACAGTGGTCTGGGGAGCTTTAGGGGTCACAGGTATAGGGGTCATCATCACTGCATCTAAACACAAACACATGTATCTGTCAAGCATGGCACGCCACATATTTATGTACGTAAACTGCCTAAACACAAAAACGTGTCACCCAGTACTGCACACAAGATACATGCACATGTAACCACATAGACACTAAACTTACATTTGTAAATAGACTAGTAAATGTGATATATTGTAAAAGTGCTAGTTTTTTTTAGTTTTTTTTATTAAATTTATTGATACAGTCAACAATATACCTGTAATTTTAAGTAGCCACTTACGTCATAGCTAAACATTTACAAGGAATTAGTATACGGTACATGATTTTTGCCAGCAATTTTAGGGAAGGGCCCCTGAGAAGGAATTGGGAAAATATCATCAGCATTTGGTAAAAATTGTGAAATTTCATCAGTTTTCCCACATAAACAGGTTTTGGAAAATATCATAAGTTTGAAAAAAAAAAAAACATCAATGGGATTTGCAAAAATGTTTTCCTCTAGCTGTTCCATACATTAACATGCATAGAAATACATAAACACATCAATTTTCAGTGTTTATGTCTTTTCTATTTCAAATTTTCATTACTTCTTTATTTTGAATGCTCCTTCACGGACGGTTATACTTTTAATGTTGCACATATAATGAATTTGCTTTTTAATCCAATTGGGAAAATAAAGACTGAAATTAAGGAAATGCAGAGTCAGAAATGCAGGGTCATTTTTCAATTGGGAACGGGTCCCTGATCCAGACCTTTATAAACACCTGGCAAAAGCCCTAGTAGATTTCCATTTTTTCCCCATTTCTTAAGAAAAATTACAAGAAACTGTGTAACAATATCATTATCAGATGAATTCCCACAACTGTCATTGTAAAATGGCTTACAATGCCACCTGGCCATAATACTATACCATTTGATCACTTATCAATCAGGCAGGCTCCTTTTGATTGACATACCAATGAGAAAGTAATATATTATAACATTAATTCATACAGATAAGGGATTTTCAAAATACGTGGGCAATAAATACAACTGTAAACTTTCCAGTATACATGTACTAAAATGGAGGAAACTCTGTACAATAAAAAGTGAGGAGATCCAAATCTCGGAGAGTTTAAAGATTAATAGGACTTTTTTTCCCGTTGTATAAGATAATGTATCATATGCACTATACAACATATACAACTATTGACTATGTCAAAGATACTGATAGTGCAAATGCTTACCACCAGTGATGATGTTTCCAGCTGCATCTGTTGTAAATATCTGTACCGTCTCCCCATCAGCACTCGTCATTTTGATTGGTTGTGGCCCCTGTGCATGAGTGTTGATACTGTTGCCTATGGATACCATCATACCTACTGAAACATACCAGTCATACAACTATGATATCATGTTTTACAACTGCTGAAGATATATTCATGATAAGTTTTACTAATGTGTTTTTATTATCTAAATTATCTTTTCCAAGTACTTCAACTGAACTGCTTTACAAAATATGTATTTGCTTATTTACATGAATTGAAACAGCATTTTATTGTTAATAACCACAAAGTTTAACTTCCTAACTTAAGACAATGATTTTGCTGAAAGAATCTAAGATATTATCAACTTGCTAATAATTTTTAATGGCATTTTGTAAATTATAATATTTTTTTGCAGAACTTAAGCCTAAAACAAGCAGTTTGAAAAGTATTCTATGATCTGTGTTATGGTAAGGAAACAGATAATGAACATATATACAGTAAAAATAAATTCAGTTTGGCAGATATTTTGCATGGGTTCCTACCATGGTCTTTCATCGACACAGGGACTTGATTTCCCAGAGTGATAGCATTGGCCAAAGACACTGGTGTGACTGGTGGTCCTGGTGATTTGGTGGAATTCATCCTCGGTTTTTTGGAAATATTAACAGGCACAGGAATAGATTCTATCCTTGTTGGAGAAGAAGCATCACTTTCACTGTCCTTTTTTCTCCTCTTGTATGGAACAAACAATCGGATCGGACCAGTCTGTTCAGGCAAAAAAGGAAATGTAAATTTTATTTACAACTGATAATTCATAATATAAACAAATAGATTGTTTTGTACAATCGGATTGGACTGGTCTGTTCATGGTAACTGAATTTGGTTGGTTGGTTGGCGGGTTCTCCTCAAAACTAAATTTTGGAAGACACATGGAAAATAGTTAAAAAATATATCCTTTAAATTTCAATATAAAAGACAATACTGAAATGGCTAAAAACAAACACACATTTTGAAAGTACACAATACATATATTGATTAATTATTTGACAATGCTATTTCATTAAATTCAGTTTTATAAGGGACATAACTCTACATTGTATGCACAAGGTGAAATTGTGTCCCTAAGGGAGATAACTTTACATAAATCACAGGTATGATGTGGAAGTTATCATAACTTTTAAAGATATATTTAGAGATAATACTCAAACACATAACAGGTAATCTGTACAATAAAGCATACATACAATGTAATTGATTCTAAATCAACAGCAAACTGGAATTTGTTTTAAAGTTACTGACCACAGATTCATCATCACAGCAGGCTGCACATGTACAAGATGTTGCATGGGGCTGAAGGATACCATCCTCGATCAGACACTGCAATGTCCTGCCTCCGTATCGAATACTTCGCTTCCAATCCTTGCTGCTAGCACGTCCACTTTTGGCCTCAAATTCATTAGGAGTGAACCATTCGTCCTCAAATGCTCGAATACAACGTCCTCTCCCTCCTATAATGAATTGAAAGAAAACATATCAAAATATACTCTGTTGACATGTCTATGAATTATTTAAGAATCAAAGCCACTTTCTATTTTAAAATTTACCATACATGTTTAAATTATATTGATTACGGCATGTCACATGCAAAATCATAATTTTTTTTTCGAAACCTATTTTTGATCAGATTGATGTTTTTTCTTGGGACAATCCACAACTCCAATTAAATTTGCTAAATGTTGTTTATTTTTTATGTACAAGCTCAGGTGACAGCAGATTAATAAAATTGGGAGGGAAAAAATCCAAATTAATATCTTAAGATATTTGATGGCAATATGAGGCATATTTGAGACTGTAAGCAAACTTAAACAATGAAACTTTACTCTTTACTTTTTATTTTTTTTATAAAAAAAAAGAGAAAGAAATTGCGTCGTCTGCTACAGGTTTTTCATACCTGAACCAAATTTAGCTTTGTGCAGCTCCCCATTCGTGTGTTTACATCGCACTGGTAAAATTGTCATGTGTACAGAATCATCCCATTGGTATTTCAACCCCTTCTCTCGACTTAGTGGTGTTGCAGGGGTAGGAGGGGGTATCGGGGTGGTGGGCGTCTTCAGGCCACTAGAATCTACTGTCAGAGTTTGATCGTGAATGACAATATGTGTCGTTTTAAGGCCGTTTGCTTCTTGAAAGTGTTCTGCAGCTGTCAGGAGACCCTGTGAAGTTGCAACATATACATGCTCAGCACTTATTGTGTTATGACCATTGCTTTCTGTATCTACGGCCTGAACTACGGAGTTTGAAGCATCGCCGCTTCCATCGTGCTGATCGTCCGCGAAAGCCGAATCGTCACCATTCGGTAGATCTTCGGCAATGTCGACTTCAGACATGTCGGAAACACGACGGAGACTGGCTATCGCAAATTACCCATTTTTTCACACACTGGTTATATCTAAACGGCTCATGCTGGCATATTTTTACAACTGTTTTCCAAAATCATGTTCATTTTTCATATTCCGCCTGTAATTGTCTCAAAAACCAATTTTCTTCATCTTCTGTCGGAGATTTCCGTTGTTTGACGAAAGATGGCGGAAAATATTGCGTCTTCAGAAAGGACCAAACAGCCAATCAGAAGCCGGTGCATATATATAGAGTGTTTTAGACGGAACAATCGGACGTCCCTCGGCAGTCTCGATTCGGACATTTGTAATCTCTAACCCACACATACACGAATTTAATGTAAAATCCTTCAACATGCATAAAATGTAATAAAACTAAATTACAATTCTAAGGGGTTAACATCGGGTCTTATTTGTATGTTCAAGAGTAGAAAGTTAAGTGCGTTTCGTTTTTTGTATCTGTAATTATTCGAGATTATTGTGGGAACTCAAAAGTGAAAATGGCATGAGAATGGACGAAGCATACAAGCAGCGGTTAAAAACTGATTTCCCCGTATGTAACTTGATTCTTTTACGTATTGCAGCTCTGTCATATTTTTTGTAACATAATTTATAAAACACACTATCTTTAAAGTGATTATATCGATGTTTTCAGACAAATACCTTATATTTGTGCAATACTCTCTACCATCTCCTACTCAAAAATAGTATCGAGTTTTACTCATTCAGTTTTTGGTGTACTAAATGATATACTGTAGTAAAGTATACAATCAAGTTGTTTATTTAGAATATCTTTAATTTATTTCATCTATCCGACCAGGAACCACGATGTTAGGCTTGAATTATACTAAGTTTGTAAATAATGTACATGTGGTTATACAAATGTATCTATACTGTAGAGATATAGATATAAAAATACCCCCAGAATATTGGTTACTAAGGTGCCTATGACATTAGGACTACCAAGAATTAATACAGGATGTAACAAGCTGAGATACTAGAATTTTAAAATAAATGTATATACAGGAAAGTTGCCAATGGATAGTTCAGTGTCCTCGAAATTCCAGGGGTTATGTTTATATTCTCGGTACCCCTAATATGTTGAGATGAAATTGAAGGCTATATATATGCACCACCTCAGGGCGAGACAAAAGGGAATCCTGATAGTCTGAGACTGGTGGAATCTCCAGGTGTACTAGTTCAGGTCCAGTACACTCCGCTGATTGAGCTATATAGCTGTAAAGACCTATAATAGCTCTATTGACCTACGCTATCTGAAATAGGTCTTTTGAGCTGTTTTCAAGTGATTTTCTTTTTTAAGGAAAACGAAACAAAGTCGCATTTAAAAGAAGATTGTATCATTAGGTTGATAACAAAAGACATTAAATATAAGTATTCTTTTAAAAAAATAATGATGTAAAAAAATCGGAAATATACATCTAATCGTATGCTTTTTGCAGTCAACATTACCATAAACCTTGTTGTTTTATGCGACTTTGATTTAATTTAATGAAAATTGAAATCTCAGAAAATATAGCTCAATACAGCTATAATTTATAGGTGGATATAGCTATATAGGTCTTTATAGCTATATAGCTCAATCGGCGGAGTGTGCTGGACCTGTAGTTCTAAAAACCGCTAGCTATTTAGATCAATTGACTAGTCAAAGTTTGATATTGTTTACCTTGTTGAATGACATTGATTGGGTTAGTAGAATTTGCATATGGACAAGTAAAAATTGGAAACTTCTGCACCAATTGACTAGTGCATGTGGTATTCAAAATTAATTTCTAGCCCTGCACCTTGAGGATGATACCAGAGCACTTCTTTGATCATTTGATGTACATAAAAAAATCATGCAGTGACAAAACTGTAAAAACAAACCTGCATTGAAGTGGTGTCAGGTCGTTTCGGTAACGAAATGAAAGTCATTTCGGGTCGTTTCGGGACATGTCAAAAGTTGTTTCGGGATTTTTCATTTCATATGCTATAATGTTGACATACATGTATTCTGAAAAAAATCTAGTTCAAACATTAAAGTTGATTAAAACAGTACTTTTATTAACAACTGGCTTTTAATGTGAACACTGATGATTAAGAAATTACATTAACAGTATATATACCATCTTTGAAATCTGAGGTTTCTGCGCAGCTGATAAATCACATTTTCTGCTCAAATAAATAAATAGAAAAATTATTAAACATTAAGAAAAAATATATGTTTCTGAAGTTGGCAAGACAAATGATTCTCCTGATTGTTCTCATAGATGATTTGTACAAAGAATAACTGTTTCAAGTAAGCACAGGAAAAACGCAAACATAAAATCATAAAGCCAACATTGACCAATACATTATTTAATTGTGTAATCTCATGCCTATTTTCATATTTTTACAGGCTATCGGAGGGGGTAAATCAGACCAATTTAGAAATGATTTGATGAATGCAACAGAAGATGAGGTTGATTTTGATTTGATGAATGACGAAACTTTTGGTGGAGAAATTGATGGTATTTTATCTTCGTTTTCAAAAGTCTGCCCCATTCACTGTACATGTATAATGAAAGAAGTCTCTCCTATTATAGTTAAGATATTGTAATTGTGTACGTAGGATATCTGCTTAAACTTGTGTTGAATGATTATTGAACCTAACCATATTTTATTATCATTTGCCAAGAACAAGGACATAATAATTTAATTTAATTAAAATGTATCTAAAAATTTAATGTAAGAGTGAAATATAGTCGTGAATCCAGCCATCTTCACTTCCAACTGCAGAGACTTGATTGCAAGACAGCTGGATTAATGTGACAATTTAGAACAGAAAAAGACAAATATGAAAATCACATAAAACAGACTAGATAGTGGAAATTCCACTTAAGTGATAACTGGTTTAACAAGACTCCAGGTACACAAAATGTACCTGAGAGGGTTTTTGCTTCAGCTCTACTTCTTTATAATAAATAACATGAACCACAAGTGTGGTGATATTTTCAAATTTTCTTGTGATGGCTGTAGTATATATCTTAAAAATTAATTTAGATATTCTGGTACTACTGCAGGGATCAATCTAGGTTTTAGGGGAAATTACCCTTTTTCAGATTTGGGGGAAATTAAATTTTTTGATACAAGGCTCTAGCGTCATGAAGGTAAAAGATCATGTTTTGTCCGACATACATGTGTGCAGTATATTTCAATTTTTAAACAATTTATGTTTGTAACAAGAAAATGTATATATGCAGTATTATGCATTTTAACTGTTGAACTTTAAAGAAAACATATATATGGGGAAATATTTTAAAGAAAAAACAGCTATTTTCTTGTTGAAAAAGGGGAATTTTGAAGCATTTAAAAGAACGGGGGAATTTTCTTCAGTATTGGGAAACTACCCATAAACGGTTGTGAATCAAGTCTAGATTGATCCCTGTACTGGTTATTTATTGTTTCTTGTTTATGTTTTTTTTAGATGTTGGATTTGACTGGGAAGGGCAAACAGAGAAGTTTGCTGGTGAATTTGAGGGAGCGATTCCCAACCTCTCTAACAAAACCAGGGACTCTGGATATGATACCGTGGATAAAAGCTATCAATCCCGGGCGGTAAGATCCACTATAGATTGACCGCTTCATGTTGATTGTAATTTCAGTGAAGATTTTTTGTTGATCTTGGTCATTTGCTTTTGGGAAATAAATACAGATGGATACTAAGTTTAGAAAAAATGGTTCTTCCATATACCGTAAATTTGCGCGTATAGTGTGCACTTTTTTAGGTTAATATTGTCATGTCAAAAAAGGGGGTGCATACTATACACAGGGACAAGTAATTCTTTGGTTATTGTTCTCAAGTTTCTGGTCCGCCATATTGGATTACCTCCCTTCAAATAGTATTGTTTGGAGTCGTCAATCATATATGATATGATTGAAGATTAAAAAACAACAAAGAATGAAATTCTTTGGCGACACAATTTTTACCTACTCTGAAATGATTAAAATTTGTAATCTGTGGTCATGACTGCTGATTTGGGGACAAACACTAGCTGGGCACAGGTAACATTTCTACAGGTAAGTTGACCGAAAAGCATAACCACCGACGCTGTCTGATCCCGGTAGGATCGCCATGCTTCAGCGAAAATTATTGACACTTCACAACACCACAGTTAATACAAATTACAATGCAGTAATTAGCTAACACTGTATCAGTGATTACCGATTAACAATAGCTCTACTGCAATTTAATTGAAATTATTTGCAGTCGCGATTGAGGGACAGTGTTGTTTTCACTCCTCAATACGTGGCGTGAAGTCCTACTGCATCGTTAGAACTACAGACTGATCATGATTTAACCGTAAAGGGATTATAAAAAATATGTTTATACTAGAAGCGTGGACATTCAATACATCCCCTTCAAATCAACTCAAAGGGGAAAAAATAAAAGCATTCAGTATACCACAATGTACCACTTCAGTATAAACTCCACCATCGCCTTCACCTGGCTTATCTACCACAATGTACCACTTCAGTATAAACTCCACCATCACCTTCACCTGGCTTATCTACCACAATGTACCACTTCAGTATAAACTCCACCATCACCTTACCCTGGCTTATCTACCACAATGTACCACTTTAAAATAAAATATTGAAATGATTCATGAGGTTATCGATTGAGACGCAAGATCAACATGAAAGTGAGCCAGGGAATAAAAAAGCACACTACTGACAGTAGGCTTAGAGATTTGGTAAAAAAAACACCAGAACTTACATGGAACGGAGCCTATCATTGAAACACTACGTTTTCATAATTATGGGAAAACCGCTAGATGTCGAAACAGAAGTTGATCGGCGATTCTCTGGCATCGAAATTAGCTACACTTTCTTCGTTTCTGCAGATCATCGTAAGGAGAGAGACCTTCATTGGCTTGTTGACTCCAATCGATCAATCGTTAACTAATCGGCGTTATAAACACCTAGCTACATTTGAAGCTACTTTTCTAGTTTGATACCGGTTATTTTCAGGATTTTTGTTTCCCAAATTTATTTTTTCAATTTTCTTTTTTTCAAATATGACCCCAAAAACGTACCTGCGCACTGTACCCACAAATTTACGGTAATTTATACATCAAAAAGTTATTGTTTTTCTGAGGAAGTTAATTTTCCTACCATATAACAGATACCAGTAACCTGTATGGAACCTAAAAGCACTACATTTTCCAAAAAATCTTTTTTGAGTGAATTGGTGTTCTATCAAAATTGTGTTATTCAATAAACATGAATATAAATTATGTTGTTTTAATACACAAATTTGTTGTTTAATTGTCAACACCATAGAAAATTCTCTGAATAGTAACAAGTAATATATCAGCTGGCCTAGTTTTCACGAATTTGTAATCAGTCATGGTCTGTAGGATCCCTCATGAGGGATCAGTGCTTTAATCTTAACTGCTATGTTGCTGATTGTTTCTAACCAAAAATATATATTCAGGAATACCTGGAGCATAACCTTAGTCAACTTGTTGTGGACGACGAAGATGACATCGACGACCCAGCGATCCTCAATGCCAGCAAGAGTCAGCGCATACCACACAAGGTAAACCCATCATCCCCAACACTGGTATAAAAGTCAGTTCATACCACACAAGGTAAACCCATCATCCCCAACTATGGTAAAAGTCAGTTCATACCGCACAAGGTAAACCCATCATCCCCAACTCTGGTAAAAGTCAGTTCATACCACACAAGGTAAACCCATCAACCCTTAACTCTGGTATAAATGTCAGTTCATACCACACAAGGTAAACCCATCATCCCCAACTCTGGTATACAAAAGTCAACCCATACCAAACAAGGTAAACATCACTATCCTCCATGCTAACAAGCTCTGCTCAAAGAAGATATTGACAGGGTTCTTTGGACATTAAACGTTCAGAACTTTTTGTTCCTCTTTGATAAGAAGCCTCCAAATTTCATGTAGCTTCTGTGTGTGAACCCATTTTCTCCAGAAACATGTAAACATGCTTGTTATTGTGTTGTAGAAACAACAGAACCTGGATGAGATCTTTGGTCCTGCCTCCCCACCTGGATACCTAGATACAGAGCATTTGGTAAGATCATCTTACCCTATTCACTTATAAAGCGTACATAGATCAATTTATAGTCTGTCAATTATGTGACATTTATGTACACATAGATCAGGCAGAAGTCTGACATTAAAGGCTGGAGAGGTCCAGTGGTGTATACATTGGAGATGTCTTCATCAGGATTTAGTTAAATTTGTCTATACTAACTGGTCAAGGGTCAGGTAGAATTCTGTGTTTATGGAGAGATATTTTGATATACAGAAAAGTTCTGGTGGCTGATATTTGAGAAATAATCCTATGTGCACAAAAAACACTTACCTGATACTATTTTCAGAAACTCAAAATCTGTGAATGTCTATACATGGGTACAAAAAGCAATTACATATGTGCAGCATTAAGTTCAAAAGGATTTCAACTTATACAAAAGTAATCTAAAATACTGTAATATGCTGAAGTATTAAATGTATTGTAATACTTAATGGTCATATCATGATCAATATTCAATCAAATTTTATTTTGCGATACTAATAAATACTCTATCTGATCATCAGGTGACAATGTTACATTACTCTGTTCTATTAAAGGTGTCACCCTCCAGTAAAAACATATGGGGCTCTCCAGTGAAGGATACCAACATGCCATCAGCCATCCATAACCTGCAATCTCTCTTTGACTTTGCCACAAAGGCTGCAACCCATGGCACTCCTAGACAGGTAAGTACGACACTTGTAAGCTGCCTTGTAGTTAACAGGCACTCTTGAGTTATCGGTGCTATATGTGTATGATTCCCTACATTTGTTAAACAAAACTTGCTGACCTGAAAGTGTTGAAGTTCATGATCATTACTCTAATGATTTCACATCATGTAGTACTACATACCTTACTTGCTCAAAGTGTGTAACAGGAATCTATAGATGGCCTTATGTTCTCACCTTGAAGCTTCCATTGGGTTTATCGTATACATGTATATGTTTTAAGTTGGAAATCTGATTAACTAATCACAAAAAATATTTTTTCCGAAAACAGGATTCACCTGTAATGTCAACTCCTGACCGACAGCCAATGCCTGTGGCTGCCCAGATGTCAGGTGGTCGTGGTGCTACTCTGGAGGAGATAGAACAGCAGATGATGTCACAGCCACGCTCGATAAAGAAGCCAGTGACAGCAGAGGAGCTTGAGCGGGAGATGCGTGGTGAGCCTTTGGACCAGCAGGTGCCCCAGATGCCCCTTCATCACCCACGAAGCCCTTATTCTGTACCACCAAACATGCCACCCCCTATTCCAGGCTCTCCAGCCTATGTGGGTTCTCCAGCAGGCCACGGACCTCCTAAGTTCCATCACACGCCTCAGGCACAGGTAAGTACTACTGGGGGCCTCTTTTCAATCAGGTCAAAGCCAATTTTCATTGAAAACATGAAACATCATTTAAATGGTTATTGAGACTTGATTCTTTAATAGATGAAACATATACGTACTACTCCATTAATCTGAATTATCATTTATTGCAGCGAGTTAATCACTCGTACTAAATATAGACATCCATGCATCTGCATGTAATGCCGGCACTTAAAAGTGATTATGTCAAGAAATGTTAATCAAAATGGTGTTCATTAAAACTCAGTTAAATGTACAGTTCTAGGTATAAAAGGAAGTTCTTTGTCATTTCCAGAATGAAGTATGTTATGGGAAGGATTTTGTTAAAATTTTCCTGACAACAATCTGATCATGATCGTTATAGCATCCATACATTGCTCTGTACACTACCCATTGGTCGAGCTTTATTAGAACAATATAGGAGAACATAGACAATTCTGATTGGTGCACTACTGAGCAAAATACATATTTATAATGATATCATCACAAGATCTTCACAATATGGAATGGGTGGTGACCGAAGTTTGGAATATGACGTATTTATGAATGGATTTTAAAGATACGATATTTATCAAGCAATAAGCTCATACCGGGTATTATTTTGAATTAGCCAACCCATATCAATTGCAGTTCAGAAAAAATGCCATAAAATGCTGTTTCATTGTCCTGTAATTTTATAGCAAGCCCATCCCCCTGTTCGGAGTCCAGCTCATTGCGTTACATATATGTTAAAACTTAAGAGATATTATCTCTGGAAACACTGTACCAGTCTGTTATGTGTTGTAGAGAGTGCCACCAGGTTTCAGCCCCATACAGGCACAACACTTGTTGGAAGGGAGGAGGTCTCCTCTGATTGGTGCCACACCCCCTTTGATAGGGTCACCTGGAGTCATGGGTCAACACCGAGGGTCACCGCAGATAGCAGGTATGATCTACTACAGTTTACAGTATATATCTGACAGTTTTTGTGTGCGTCCCTTATTTTTGAGATTGTGAATGATTTATTCAACCAACTACACAGTTAATTCTTTAGGAGTGTCCATCAAGGGAGTCGGGGAGGGGGCGTAAACTACGAGTTTGACTGATATTTGTCTGTCAGTCCATCTTTGGTAGGAGACTTGTATTGCATTACTGTCATGCAGAAGTCTTTGTTTTACCTGCTAATTGAATCTCTTGAGTCGACCAAAAAACACAAACCTGTTTGCTACGATTCTATTAAAATACTAGGTCTTCGACTTGCAAAAGTAAAATCTGCATTATGTGACTTGTGACTTGCAAAATTACGAATCATGAAAATTTGTGGAGGTCATCAGCTATTATACTAAAAATAATATTAATATTTTTTTTATTGTGAAAAATTTCCATATTTGAATTAAACTATAGTTTCTTAAGATCCCAATCACAAAAACCTCATATATACGGGGGAAAACAAGTTATTAAGCATGTTGAATTTGGTTGGTTATTTCATTGGCAATCTCAAAAATTTGAGAATATTATATATTCAGATAGCCTAGTAGTATTGTAATCTATATATATATCTGTTGTGTGACCTTCTGCTTTACATCCTGGTGTTCACCACAGCCCTAGCCTCTTGTGTGCTTTCACTGGAAGTTAATTGAAGTTAAATCTGCTTTTCTTTTCATATAAAAAATTAAAAGTTTTGATTTCTTTTGTTAATTTTACTCTGGCAATCTGATGGAAACATTTGAGATACATTTTAATGGAATAGGAGGTTTTTGTTTGATAGAATAGATGTTGGATGTTCAAATGTATGAAGTTAAAATGTATTATCAACAATTAAAATAAATCTAACTTTGTTAAATTCTAAAAAGTGTGTGCTGTTTCTGGTTTCTGATATTTGCTTTTGAGAAATTTAGTATGGAGCACATTTTTTTTTCTTTCTAATAACAAATGTTTTTAACAGACAGTAATTAGATAGAAATACGCTTCACCAAAATATTTACGCTGTGTTTAGATCACTATTTATAAATGTGTGTGTGGTACACCTTCCTATCAATACTTGCAGACTATAAAAGAAACAGGGTTTTTTCTTGATAATTCAAGAAAGTGATAATTTGTAATTTCAAAATTTATTGAACCTTTTTTCAATAAGAATACTAAATGTCATTTTGTATTTGTGTTAGTAAGAAACATCACTCCTATAAGAAATCTAGTCAATTTTGTTCTCTTTCCTGTTTTTACTTCATCTTGCCAAAGTATATATAACCTGTAAATTTCAATATTATTAATCAATATCATGTACACTGTAGATGTAGATCAAGGGATTTTCTTATCACTCCAAACTGTAGTTTCTGTATGGTATACTCAAGACCACATTATCCGGCAATTGTGTTTCACATTAACACTACATAACATGAAACTATCTTTGATATTTTCTTTGGTGGGTTTACTATTGCCAATTATTTTGATCTGTTTGTACTGATTTAATTGTTCATGGGTATTTTCCTGTACTCATATATTTGTGCTTCATCTGCATCTGTCAAACCCTATTTAAGTGAATGCACAGTGAAAGTTTCATGTTGTGTAGACTACTCCAGTATAACATGTCTACGGAAATCCCATGTGTCATATATATCTGAGGTTATCCATGTTGACCTGGCTCTCCACATCCTGTGTTCAGTCTGGTATCTCTCAGCCTACAGTATCACATGTTGATGGTGGTGCATTCTGTCTCACAAGATCACATGCTAGGATTGATATCATGCTACACATATTAACGATTCCCAGATCCGACCTGTCTCCACTGATCACATGCATGTCTAGGTTCGGCATCTCTCAGGCTACACATATTAACAATTCCCAGATCCGACCTGTCTCCACAGATCAAGTGCTAGGTTTGGCATCTTTCAGGCTACACATATTTACAATTCCTAGATCCGACCTGTCTCCACAGATCTCGTGCTAGGTTTGGCATCTTTCAGGCTACACATATTTACAATTCCCAGATCAGACCTGTCTCCACAGATCACATGCTAGTCTATTGCTAGACATGCATACTGAAAAGGTAGACATTTTAGAATCTCCTGTGGATTTCTTTCAGGAATGTCAGGTATCTCTCCCATTACAAGGTTGACCCCTTCACCTCCCCTGGGGGCAGGGCTACCCAACCTCTTTCACTCACCAATACAGGCACGAATGATGTCCCCATATGCAAGAAGTGCCATTGTGGGCCCTATGGGTATGTATTTAATTTAAGTAGTGAAAGGGCCAAGATAGCGTATGCCTTAATGTTAAATGGCAGCATTTACCAACTTTTCATATTGAATATACTTTTGAGCAAAACTGATTCCAAATGTTCATGCAATGGTATATTTATAAACAGAAGGATTTTCAGGGCATTAAGCATGTTTAAGGAAAACGGATTCTACTGATCCATTTTAGGAAATTTTCAAAAGCATTCTACTCAAGTTTTCATGAATGCCTATTAATAAAACATGAATATTCATTTTGTGAATGCATATTATTATTTCGTGTGCTGACAACTTGTAGATTTAAGTTTACTTCATCTATAGGTGCAGGTGCCATGAAAGATGTTATGAGTAAGGTTTTAATTTAAGAAAATACTAAAAAGATTATTTATTTTGGAAAATCTTCGGAGGAGGAGTTATAATTGTCTCCGTAGATTTGGGATTGATCATGTCTAGTGAATACATATTCTAGTTTGGTCCAACCCAGTGATGATCGTGTGTTATGGTGGTTGGGTGTGGTGTCACTTCAAAGTTTATCATAGTAAATAACAATTGTATTGTTATTAGGGAAACATATCAAAACACTTCTAAAATCTTTCATGTGTAATGCCAGATTTGTATTACTGTACGATTAAACAACATTTTCCTCAATATATTTGCATGACTGTTTTATACTACTTTCTAGCACCTGTTTGTGTGTATATATAGTGGATGTTTGTTAGATCATTTAATCATTGGTCTAACTTAATATGACGCTACACATTGATATAAGTAGTTGTGTTTTACCTTCATATTGAAATTGATAAATCCTACAACACATATTATAAATAATACTCCTCATTATCGTATATAATTTCATGCTTTCTGATAATAATAGCTATATCTTCTCTCTCTTTATTCATGATTTTTTTTATTTAATACTGATGTTAAATTGCACAAAAGCACTTGACATTTCTTGTCATAAGTTAATATTAAGACAACATATATAATACCTGGGACTGCCAAATCCTGGATGGAAACTCTAAGCATCCAAGCTAAAATGTACCCAGATCATTTTAAATGGAAGGGGACTTTCTTTATATTTAATGTCACTGAATAAATGATTAAGTCATTAATTTGTACTGTACAAAACCTGTTCTATGAAGCTCTATGTTGATATATGATAATGCTGTTCTGTTCACAGGAAACAGGTTGCCTACACAACCAATTGGTATCCCACAGCAACAGCTGCAGCAACGCCCGCCAACCAATCAGAGTCCATACAACAACAGTCCGGGTGGTCAGCTCCCACCAGGATCATCACCAGGAGGGCTGTATCACAGTCCAGGGCTCAACCATAGTCCTGCAGGCCCAAGGTAGGGCAAGATGGACTGTATATAGGGGAAGGAGTGGGACTAAGGAAGGACAAGGTGGACTTTTTAAGGGGAGGGGTGGCGCTAAGGTAGGGCAGGGTGGACTGTTTATAGGGAGAGGGGTGGCGCTAAGGTAGGGCAAGGTGGTTTTAGGGGGAAGGGGTAGGGTTAGGGAACTCCTATATGCACGTAAAATGTATTCTCCTTCCGCGGACATGATCTCCGTTTCCTCCAAAAACACTAGCCATTTCAGAGTTTACAAGTTTTTCGCAGTCAGCCTGCCACTTTTTATACACCCGGCAAATTTGACGGGAGTATTATGGTATGGTTGTTGTCTGTCCGTCCGTCAGTCTGGCGTAAACTTTTGTTTGTCCGGCAATCTCCTCCTACATTTTTTAACGGATCTCTTTGAAACTTGGTATACATGATAATCATGATATGAAGTTGTGTCTCCCTTAAAAGAATTTTGATTCGACGATTTTTGCAAAAGTAACTGCCCTTTGTTCATTTCAGTATTTGATTTTTGTCTGGCAATCTCCTCCTACATTTCTCAACTGATCTCTTTGAATCTTGGTATACATTATAATCATGATATGAAGTTGTCTCCCTTAACAGAATTTTGATTCGACGATTTTTGCAAAAGTAATTGCCCTTTGTTCATTTCAGTATTTCATTTTTTGTCGGGAGATTTTCTCCTACATTTTTTATAGCATGTCAGCTAACCACTCTTAGAATGATGCAGAGAGATCTTATTTCAAAGTAAGAAAGTATATAACACTATATGGCATTCAACGGGCGTATATTGTTCCGCCCCACAGTACTCTTGTTAAAATTGTAGAATTTCCTCACATTGAACTTTGTAATATACATTAAGCAGGGCATTTTTAATGATTTTACTTTTTCAGGGGTCCTTATTCTGGACCACCTCCTGGGGACAGAGGGCAACATCCCCAGGGTGAACGATACACCCCACAAGGTGAGCGGGGATACCATCACCAAGGCGATAGATTCACTCCTGGAGAGAGGGGATACCCACCCAAAGGTGATAGATACACCCCTCAAGGTGATAGATACACCCCTCAAGGTGATAGATATACCCCTCAAGGTGATAGATATACCCCTCAAGGTGATAGATACACCCCTCAAGGGGAGAGGTACCATAGAGGACGGGGCATCCAACGGGGATACCAGAACAACAGCAACAGGTATTACAATCAGTAAGTACCTTCTCTCGGGACAGTACATGGGGAACACAAGGGAGACAAGTCTAGGTTTATTTCCTTGTTCAAACACAGAGTTTTTCTCAAAATGTGTTAATTATAATTCCTTACAGAGCTGTGTACATTTCACAGCACTGGAGGATTAATAATTATTCGATCCAATGAAAAATATTGATATTTGTCATCAAATAATAATCAGCTGTTTGGAAAAAGTCACTCAAAATACCTATAAAAAGGAACACCTATGTTTCTTAGTGAACCCTCTAAATACAGTAGATTAAAATTAGGTGCATACTCTATAAGTTTTTATGTCAGTTACAAAAGGGCACTGTTGAAGTCAAGTCTTGTTTTGCTCAATGTAGCAAATCTGTAAAATGTAAAATAAATCCTCAAAGGCTTGTATCTGCATGATTATTTTGAACATTACTGAAATCTAAGTCAGTGGTCAAAACCTTTAAACAACTTGGTTATTACCAAGTAGCCTGGGGTCGTTGGCTGTGGTCAGTAGCATGCTGGAGTGAAGGACTATCAGGTTTGTTGTATGAATCATGTTGTCCCACTATGACATTCAGTCAGTCACATGTGAAATGTTTTTAGCACTACAATACCTGAAATGATTTCATATTCCAGAGTTTTGAGTCCCAAGCTCAAGGATACTGTAAACAGAAAATTTACCAGTGCTTGGGATAGGAAATTCAGCATTGGCATTCTTGACTTGATAGACATCTATCTAATTTATTGCTCAGCCTTGTCAAAAAAAGTGTTTGCTACATATCATACATTTATTTAAATTTTATATCTCTTTTTTTTAGAAGTTATCGAGATAATAGACACGACCATGACTACGACAACCGAGACAGAAATAATTATGAACAACGTAACAACTACGACCATTACAACAACCATCGCCGCTACTACTCGTACCAGAACGACCAGGAGAATAGGCCGTCCGACGAGTATGCTGGCCTCATGACGAAGAAGGAGAAAGACTGGATCATTAAGATTCAGCTAATGCAGCTACAGACAGACAACCCCTATCTAGATGATTTCTACTACACAGTAAGTTTGTAGCTATAGACAACCCCTATCTAGATGATTTCTACTACACAGTAAGTTTGTAGCTATAGACAACCCCTATCTAGATGATTTCTACTACACAGTAAGTTTGTAGCTATAGACAACCCCTATCTAGATGATTTCTACTACACAGTAAGTTTGTAGCTATAGACAACCCCTATCTAGATGATTTTTACTACACAGTAAGTTTGTAGCTATAGACACAATCACTATCTAGATGATTTTTACTACACAGTAAGTTTGTAGCTATAGATACAACCCCTATCTAGATGATTTTTACTACACCGTAAGTTTGTAGCTATAGACACAACCCCTATCTAGATGATTTTTACTACACAGTAAGTTTGTAGCTATAGACAA